GCCAAGGGAAATAGTAAGCTGATTGGGAGAATTACTCTATTTTTATTAACAAGTGGTTTTCACTTATAAACCCACACATGAGAAGTAGTGACAAAATAATATTTATGTGATTGAATATAAGAAGGTAATAGAAATATTTAAATATAAATAAAATATTAATGTAAGAGAATAAGTGATAAATCCTAGACTGTTATGTATTAATATAATCTCAGATAATTTTTTTGATCCCACTAATTATTGAGTACTAGCTTTGGCATATACGAAGCTCTGCAGGTTTAATAATACGGAGCTGTGCTAATAAACCAAAGGCAAGGAGTTCAAATCCACCAGCTGTGCTGCAGGAAAAAGTTAGCATGGAGAGCACTGGTGGTTAAGCGTTAAGGAACTGTACTGTAAATTCCAAGGATCTGAGGTTTGATTCCACTAGATGCTTCATGGAAGAAAGACAGACACATCCTCCTATGTAATTTATGGGCCCTGAATACCTGCTTGAGGTTAATAAAAACCTACTGTTGGGTAGGTAAGCTGTGGGTCAAACGAAATTTGACAGTACACAAAAACAACAAGCCTTGATACATGGTTGCTATTACAAAAGCTGATTTCAGAAGAAATAATTCAATATATGTTAACTAATAAAAAAGTGCATATCTTAGAGCATCAAAACTTACATCTTACTTCTGGAAACATTATTTGCTAATTTTAATAATCTTGTAAAAGGGATAAATATCTACATTTTAATAAGTAATCAATATAGAGAAATAAAACTTATTTCCTTTTCTTTAAGTTATATTTAAATCTTTTTTCCATCTAGCATGATGTTATCTATAGGTCCAATGGTGAGAATTTTCATTTTCTTGATATTGAAGGCTGTAGTCTTTGATTTTCTGCAGTTAGTACTACAAGTCTACCTCACTTTCAGCATGCAAGGTTACTTCATCGGCTTAACAAAGGTGGTTGTTATGTGCCGTCAAGTCGCTTGCGACTCATAGTGACCCTATGTACGACAGCCCTAAACTCTGCTCTGTCCTGTGCCAGTCGCATCCTATTACCCCAGTCACTAAATCAATCCACTTCATAGAGGGCCTTCCCCTCCTTCCCTGTCCCTCCACCCTCCTAAGCATGATGTCCTTCTCCAAGGACCGTCTCGCCTTACAACATATCCAGAGTAAGTTAGATGGAGCCTCAGAATCCTTGCCTCCGAGGAGCTGCCCGGTTTAACCCTTTCCAGGATGAATCTGTTTGTTTTCCTAGCAGTCCATGGTATTCTCAATACTCTTCTCCAGCACCACAGCTCAAAGGCATCAATTTTCCTTCTATCGTCCTTGGTCATTGTCCAACTCCTTGATGCATAACAAGACCATGGCCTGTATCAGGCACACCTTAGTCTCCAGAGAGACACCATTGCTCTTCAGTACTTTGGAGAGGTCCCTAACAGCATACTTTCCCATGGCAATGCACCTTTTAATTTCCTGGCTACTGGTGCCAAGAGTGTTGACTGTGGAGACAAGCAAACTAAAGCTGTGAACAATCTCAATCTCTTCACCATCCATCCTGATGCTGCCAATTGGCCCAGTGGTGAGAATCTTTGTCTTCTTGACATTGAGCCTCAATCCATATTGGAGGCTGCAGTCTTTGACCCTCTGCAGCAAGCACTTCAGGTCCTCTTCAGTTTCAGCAAGCAGGGTTGTGTCATCTGCATATCGTAGATTGTTGATAGGTCTTCCACCAATCTTGACCCTACATTTCTCCTTATAGAGCCCAGCCTCCCAGATAATCTGTTCTGCATATAGGTTGAAAAGGTATGGAGATAGCCTGCATCCCTGGAATACACCCTTCCCAATTTTGAACAATGCAGTGTTCCCTTGCTCTGTTCTGACGACTGTCTCCTGGTCCAAGTATAGGTTTTACATTAGAACTATCAAGTGTTCTGGGATTCCCATTCTTCTCAGAGTCAGCCACAGTTTCTTATGATCCACACAGTCAAACAGCTTTCCATAGTCAATGAAACACAGATAGGCATTCCTCTGGTATTCCCTGCTTTCAGCTAAGATCCATCTAACATTAGCTACAATATCCCTAGTACCACAACCCCTTCTAAACCCAGCCTGGACTTCTGGTAGTTCTCTGCTGATGTGCTGTTCCAGTCATTTTTGGATAATCTTCAGTAGAATCTTGCTTGCACGTGAAATCAATGAGATTGTTCTATACTTTCCACACTCTGTTGGGTCATCTCTCTTTGGGATGAGAACAAATATAAATCTCTTTCAGTCTAACAAAGGTTAGTGACAAATATTTCTCTTATCCTAATGCCACATTAATCTTCAGAGTCAAATTTCTTGAATAATTTGTACAGATTGAATAAGTTTAGAGAATGGACACTATCCTGACATATACCTTTCTTAATTTTAAACCATGTAGTGTTCCCCTTTTCTATAAGCACAGTAGTCTCCTAGCCTAGGTATAGGTTTTTCATGAGCACTATTAAGTATTCTGGGACTCCCATTCTTCTCAATGTTAGCCATAATTCATTAACATCCACACAATCAAATAACTTTACATGGTCAATAATACACAAACAGACAAAACAGAAATTCTTCTGGTATTCTTTGTCCTGGTGTCATAGCCTCTTCTAAATTCAGCTTGAATACCTGGCAGTTCTCTGACTAGTTCTAGATAGCTTTTGGATGATCTTCAATAGTACTTTGCTTGCATGTGATATATATTGTCAGCAATTCCGCATTCTGTTGGATCACCTTCTTGGGAATGGGAATATATATGGATATCTTCCAGTCAGTTAGCTTGGCAGCTGTTCTCTTAATTTCCTAGCACAGACTTGTGAGAACATAGATGGAGAAAAGTCAGTCAATGACTCCATCCTATTTGGGTACATAAAAAAGATACTTGGTATCAGAAACCAGGAGATCAGGAGATGTGTGGCACTGAGAAAGCCAGCAGTCAGGGACCTCTCCAAATTATTGAGAAGCAATGATGTTAGTTTGATTCAAGCCATAGTCTTCAAACACTTCTTATGCTGTTGAGAGTTGGCCAATGGATAAAGATGACTAAAGAAAAACTGATGCCTTTGAATTGTGGTATTGGAAGAGAGTACTGAATACACCATGAACTGCCAAAAGAACAGATATGTCATGGAGAAGGTGCAGCCAGAATGCTCCTTGCAAGCAAAGATGATCAAACTTCAGCTCACGTACTATGGGAATATTGCCAGAGAGGCTTGTCCTTGGAGAGGGACATCATGCCTGGGAAGGTAGAGGGATGACAAAAGAGAGGAGGATCCTCAACCAGGTAGAATGACACAGTGTCTGTAGCAATGAGCTTACATGTGTCAGAGGACGGGTCTCAGATCTGCTGTCCTTAAGGTCGCTATGAGTCATACTGCACCTAACAACAACAAGTTATATTTAGGGAGCTGAACTGCTAACCCAGAGATCCAGCAGTAGTAAAGCAGTAGGAGCCCTGGGAGGGAAAGTTGAAGTTAACATAGAAGTAGGTGCAGGGAGTATAGAGACATATCTGGCCCAATGGGAATTGATTTTACACTATTGATGCTGTGGATGGGAAAGAGTCTCCCTTGTAAAGTTAGTAGAGGTCAGATGCAGCTGCCCCCCCCTTCACCCATATTCTTCTAAAGAGAAAGTCAATGGAGAAGGATTGTTATGAGTTGGAATAGACTCTACAGCAGTAGGTTTAGAGTCCCTTTCCCTCTGCCGTCCCCTATTCTCCTTTCTTCTCACCCTCCCTTCTTTTCCTTTATTTCTAACAAAATTTTAAACAGTTCATTTGGGTTTTGACCTTTTATTGAGAATTTGCATTTCCATTAGATAGAATGAATCAGAATTTATATTTTCATAAGATCCCCAGGAAGAAAGAATATTCTTAGCAGAGGCTAAAATGAGAATGAATCAATTGGAAGCCTTGGTTTACATTAACACCCAACTCAAACTCATTGCCTTCAAGTCAGAACTAACTCAAAGTTCACCCTCCTCCATAGGGTTTGCAATACCGTAAATTTGCCTGTTTTCCTCCCACATCTATTCAATGTCTATTTGTGTATATATATGATGCTTCAAAGTGAAGGATAAGCAAGAGAGAGTGAGAAGATCCTCAGTTGGATGGACTGACACAGTGACTGCAGCAATAAGCTTGACAGATGCTTCAAGTAACCATAATTACTTTGGTATATATATATATATACACAATAGAGCTTTGTCATGAAATGATCTAGTAGAGTATAACATTCTCGATTGACTTTCTAAACAAATTTGTTGCTAAATGTAGCAGGAGTCACTCGCCACACTATTATTTCATCTTTCGTGTGGTGTGTGACAAATGAAAAAAATGGATTTGGAGAACCTAGGAAAGAGAATAAATTGATTTATTGTTTCTTGTTCCAGAAATTAACTCCAGCAATAAGGCATGCAGACTATTTGGTGATTTCACAATATAAATTATTATCTAGGATCTTTGGTGATTATTTGTTAGGCTCATTCACAAAACAAAAAGATACAAATTTGACTATCATAATACTTAAAGAACAAAACAGATAAAAATCTCAACACAAACATTTTTTTAGGTATTCAAATTTTATCTTGTTTTGTGTCCAATTTTTTAATCTTTCATTTTTGTAAGTATAATGTTAGCCAAGTTTACAATGGGACTGAATTTGGTATTTTTATTCATGAGTTTTTGGAAGAATGAAACACTGGAGAAGACTTTTCCAATTTATAATGCAAAGATCCTTTTAAACCTACCGTATTCTTTTTGTTTCACCACTGGTTATGGGCGTCCCATCTCTAAGCCATTGAATAACTGGTGTGGGAATGCCATTTGCCTTGCAGACCAACTCAACATTTTCTCCTAGAAGAACTCCAACTTCACTTGGCATTTCAGCACCAACAACACTTGGAGGAACTTCAGAGAAATAATTAGGGTTTTAATTTACACGGTGCCAGGGCATAAACTCTAACAAATACAATTAAATCATAAAACAATATGTTATTTCTATGTTACATTTTCCCAAGATTAAGGTACAAGACCAAACTATTATTTTATACATGAATTATTTTGAAATGAGAAGTCAGTAAAGGAATCATTTCATTATTCCAAGTATATCTGTGAAGTCACATAATTGTCGTGAGAGTTGGTGACAGTTGTTGATTACACCTCATGGGCACACTTCCCTAAGTCCTAGCTCTAATAACTCTTAGATAAATACTAAATAGATGGCGTAGAATTAATTAGGATCAGAAGAATCTAGTTTTGTAATTAAATCTCCTGAGAACTTTTGATAAAAGTATAAATTTAGATTGTGTATTTCTCTGATACAATTTCTATTCATCTTTGATTTTCATGTTAATGTTTTAGTAATAAATAATATTAGCAAAGTTATTGAGAATGGTATCAGAAATGGACTTAGAAACTTAAATTCTTACTCTGCATTTACTAATACTGTTGTATAACTACAATGTTGTGCTGACAGCAGCTCACATCAAATTACAAAAGTCAAATTTGCACGTTTTCCTTGCTCCATCATATTGGTAGCTTGTAACATCATATTTGTAACTTGAAATTTATTATGGTTAGATTGCTTACACCATGGAAATTTGCACATGCTATAATAAGACTTTTTTTTGTTTTGTTTTGTTTAAGAACAAAAGCTTAGAGCAGCTTTGTTAAGGGGGTTCTGGGCGATGTTCCTTGGTCTCAAAATGGAGAACAAGGAAGTTGTGCTTAGGGCATCTTTGGGAGGGTTTTTATAGCAGGGTCTTCAGGGAGGAAGGGTGGGACATTCCACTGTAGTTTATGGTTTAGCCAAGTGGGCGAGGCCCTTTACTCCTTTTGTTGATGTGTTGTATTCTTTGAATTATTTATTCTCCCCCTCGGCCTTGGTCTGGGCCTAACATTCCAGCCTCTTTAATAAAAAAAAAAAAAGAGTGAAGTATCTTTATTTTAGCTACTTCATGCTGAACAGGGGCAGAAATCCAAGGCACAGAGGTTAGATTGGGTTGGCCCGGGATCAGTAGCCAGGGGAGAATATAGATGTAATAGCAGCTGGTTCATCAGTAAATTGGTCATTTCTTTTATCCATTCTATGTCTTGACACCATGTGAGCTGGCAGGTTCAAGAAAGAGAGGGGTGCCACATTTTCCCTGAAAGAGGGAGGGGATATAATGTGCCTCGACTCTTCTCTTGGGTCTTTGGCAGTAGATTTTAGGTCTTCACACTGAATGTAAGGCTCCAAACTCAAGAGTTCAGGAAAGAAAGCTTAAAGCAGCTTTATTAAAGGATCTCCTGGTCTCAAAATGGAGAACAAAGAATTTGCTCAATAAGGCCTTTTTGTCAAGAGGGTCTAAAACATTCACCAATACATCATTATGTGATTTCTTCAAATCTCAGTTAAGTAATACTGAGGATGTTTTGCATTTACGAAATTCACAGAATTAAAGATCTCAAGCAGTAAGAGTGATAAAGCCATCTTAGATCCTCAGTGAGATGGACTGACACAGTGACAATATGCTTAAGTATGTCAGAAATGATGAGGATGGCAAGGAAATGATAGAGTTTAGATCTGTCGTTCATAGTGTCACTATGAGTCATACTCGACTCAATAGCACCTAATAACAACAAAAACAATATACATCTAATATATGACAAATACTAGATTTTATGATGCATATTGAATAGAAATGAAATATAAACTATATCACACAAAGATCCAACAAAATGTTTAGTTTTAACATACACATTTTAATTGGGATAATTATTATCATTAATCTGTCAAACATATTAAATATGCATTTTCTAACATTGTTGTTGTTATGTGACATTGTGTCACCTGCAACTCACAGCGACCCTATTTCAAGAGCCCTAAGCCCTGCTATATCCTGTGCCAAACTCATCGTCTTCGATATATCTACTCACACTATACCAATCACTGAATTGATCCATCTCATTAAAGGTCTTCCTCTCCTGCGCTGTTCCTTCACTCTTCTAAGATTACAGTCCTATTAATATATTTTTTAAAATTTTATGTTTCTGAAATCTCATAGCATTACCAATAGCAACTTAGAATACAAAAACAATTAAAAAATAATTTCATCTTTATTTTTTTATATTTTGGTGTCAGTTAGAACACGGTAGACCTTTACTAAGCATTTGCTGGATGGATGAATATTCCTTACTCTTTCTTTCCTTTAATAATCTCTTTCTTTAAAATTTTATACTGGTTTACATACAAAGTTTATAAAATTCATATATATTGTTTTTCACACCAGTTATTTCCTTATTCTTATCCCAAAATGGCTCAAGTTTTAAGTTTAATTGAAACTTATTTTATCTGTGGTTAGAAAAGAGTCTAAACTGTAAGAATTGAATTATATATATATATGTATCTGGAAGACTAGATAAATTGCCAGTTTAAAATCAATAACGGCAAATCAACAAAACACACATATCGAGAGGTCATCATTTATTAAATGTAGACAAAATAGAATCACTGAGTTTCACTGTTTTCTACATGTAAGTCTATTTCTATGAAAATAGAATATATTAATAAATTCAGGACAGAAAATTTATAATATTTTTTGTTTGATCTAAACGTATTTTGAATTATTGAATATCTCTTTAAGTATAGATTTATTTTTAGCTATAAATGTAACAAAATTGAAAGCTGAATCCCAACATAGGCCACATACCTTGAATTGAAAGGATGTAGTTTTTCTGTGCCTTTCCCTCTGTATTTGATGCAATGCATGTGTAGTTTCCACTATCTGAGAACTGGGACCGGGCAATTTGGAGTTTACTACCTCCTGATAAAATACGAACTTCAAGTAAGCCGGAATTTTCTATAGTAATAAATAAAGCAAAAGAAAGTAGAAATAAGGGGTTTTTTTTTTTAAACCTCTCTACAGTTCACTATGAAAGTTTCTTGATTTTTGTGATAAGTTCATTTTCACATTTCCTCATTTAGCTTTAAATGAATCTTTTAAAGATAAATACAGATTAGTACTTTTAATGAAAGGAATACTTATTGTACTTGTAACTTTATATTTCAGTACATAAGGTTTTGTTTGAGGGAGCCCTGGTAGTGTAGTTGTTATGTGCTCACATACACCCTTCAAGTTTAGTAGTTCAAAACCACCAGTCACTTATCGCTCTGGAAACCCAGTGGGGAAGTTCTTCTCTGTCCTGGGGGGTTGCATTAAATTTGAATTGAGTCATTTGGTCTGTTTTGTTTTTTTCAAGTTTTCCTCTAGTGAACACAGCCATGAGCTACTTTATAAATCTGGTCCATAAAGAATTAAAGCAAACATAGAAAATTGTATAGTTGCATTACCTATGGACTTGTGGTTTTTTAACCAAGCTATTGTAGGAGGTGGGATCCCAGTAGCCTCACATGTTAGAGTCACAGGATTACTGATTGTTTCAACAATCACTACTTCTTCAGGCCCTTCAATACTGGGAGGAACTGTAAAAAGACAGAAGAAAATCATATGTCTTCATTAAGCTAATCAGGAAAATTTCTTTCATTTGCATATCTGGGGGAAAAAGAGTTATATTAGAGGCAGATGCTCACCATATACATTGAGGTGGAAATTTTTATCATCCCGTCCTGCTACATTTATAGCTCTACATACATACTGGCCTGTGTCAGATACCTAAAAGAAAAAGATACTATAGTATGTGCTCCATTATGTTACAGATGACTAATCACACTGTTCCAGTGTAGATTAAATCATCAGTCATCTTTATGCTCAAATGCCCCAGTTCTATTGCTTTCTGCAATCCTTCTGTTGTTCTTAAAGCAAAGAAAATCAATGACCCTGAAGACTTAATTTTTCAAAAATAATTTTCACTGTAGTAAAGGTACTATCAGCTTCCAACTATTTCACTGTTCCACAAAGGAATGACATAAAAACAAGAAGTAGAAAAGCACCTCCGCTTTCTTGATGTGCAGCATTTGTCCATCTAATAAAATCTCCAAGTGAGTAGACTCTGTTATCATCCTCCCATTCTTATACCAGGTGATGACAGGAGGTGGGACGGCATTGGACTCACACTCCATCGACACTGAAGTCCCCTCTCTCACGTTAATTACAGAAAGAGATTCACTGCCATCATCTTTAATGCTTGGGGGCACTGAGGAAAGATAAGAGCAGACGGATACCCCCATTCATTAATATGCTCAAACAGAAATCTCTAACATAAATTTAAAAATAAATTACTTTATGAAAAGAGTAAAAACAAACCATAAACAGTCAGGGAAATTTTTTTCTTGCTTTCACCAGCTTGGTTGATAGCTATACAAGTATAGTCACCACCATCAGATACCTTGGCACGAATAATTTGTAGTATTCGACCACCTATAATACAGATTGAAGAGTAATATAGAGGTTATTCTATTTAAGATAAACAGCATGATATGTTTTTTCATCTGGAGTAAAGCAGATATAGAAGGCTTTCATCTTTAAAATGGAATAATTTAAGCCATTATATTTGATCTTTGATTTATTGTGGATTCTACTTCCTTTTAAAGAAAGAAATTAATGGGACTTTTCTCCTGAGTAATAAAACATGAATCAGAATAGTCTGATGTAGGTTCTAGTGAGGAAATAGTAATTACATTTGGAGAAGTTAGGTAACAAAGCATTTTGGGGGTTTAAAAATCTATTCAGGGAGCTCTGGTGGCCTAGTGGCAAGAAGCTGCACTGCCATCATGAAGGTGATTGGTTAGAATCCACTGGATGCTCTGCTGGAGAAGGAGAAGCAATCTCCAGTGCCAGTCGGATCCAACTGAACAGTACACAAGGGGGGAAAAAAAATCTATCTATTCATAATGCACAAACAACTTTAGTATTGATTAACAACATTTACTGGGTTTCTTCTGCGACAGAGGTTATTTATCAATCTACCAATTCACAAAAAAAGAATTTCCATTCTTAAATGTCATGACTTATTGAAAGAGATCTTACTAGGTATTTTCATTAAAATCAAGAAAGCATACAATGTTTATTTTAATAGCTTAAAATTAGCATAGAGAGGCATTTAATGGAAACAAGTAAATAGAGAAAGTCAAAAGTTTAGAAGAGACTAAGAGAAAAGTAATTTACATAAAGATAAAGGAAAATGAGAACACTTATAAGGAGACTATATTATATATACATATACGTATATATTGCTATACATAGATTTTATAATTTCATAACAAATTAAAGAAATTTTTAAAGAATAGATTCCTTACCAGGAACAATGAAAGCATTTGTGTTTGGATTGATGGGTTGCTCATTCTTGAGCCAGCTGAGATCAGGAGGTGGAAAACCAGAGACCTCACAGGTCAAAGAGATGAAATTATTCACCACAACAGTCATATTTTCAGGGTTAGGGCCAATGACACTTGGAGGAACTATAATAATAAAGTGTAGTAAAAGTAAATTCTGATGTTATCAGTCCATACATTCCAATTTACTAAGTAGAAGTCAAACCACTATACTCTGCTAAAGCAATTAGTTCAAGATAATCATTAATACACTATGAATAATTCTTCTTGTTCCTACAAATACCTAAAATACCCATGAAGAAAATGAGTTATCCATCTTTGTAGGAAATTTTAATGGCTTCATCAAATTTATTCTCAGCTGTTTCATTTTTCCTAATTGACAGTTCCAGAATTTTCAAACACAGATATCACGTATTTTACTTGTAAAAAACAGCCAGCAGTGCCTTAGATGCCTTTGTCAATGTAAAAAGACCTTTTCTTAAGAACTTTTGAATACTTTTGCTTCAAATAGTACACCTTGATATAAACTTTTTTCTCTTTCCCTTTTTTAAACCAATGAAAGAATATTTAGAAATTTGATGCTAGGGCCTCTATAAATAAATAAAAGATTGTTTTAAAAATGTTGTTCTTGATGTTGTTAGGTATTATAGAGTTGCATATGACCCATAGTGAGCCCCTGAACAACAGATCTGAATCCTGCCTATCAGGTGCCACCTCACACTTTCTGACACACTAGAGCCCATTGTGGCAACCACTTTAAAAATGTAGGCCAATGACTTTATGATGAATAAAAAATTTAAGAAATAAACAATAACACTGACTTTCTTGTTAAAAGTGTTAATTTAAGAAGAAAAAAAATCCTGAGCAAAAATGTGAACTAATAATAATATTCATGCTATATTATTTTTATATACATTATAATAGCTTGCCTCCAGAAACCCTACGAACCTGGAGAGAGGAGGAAAGGCACCCAAGTGTCGAGGACTCTCCTTCATAGGGTCGCTATCAGCCGCCTGCGACTCTACGGCACTTAACAACAATAATATCAACACAGAGAGAGAGATCACCTGGCCCAGTGGACAGAAAACGATGCTACCAAGCCAAAGGTGGGTTACTTTTAATCCGCAGCCCTGGGGCCTGTCTTTCATTGTTTTTGTTCAGACATTCCTCTAGGTCGTATAGCCCTGGTGTCCAAGGTGCCGTACCATGGTCACTTGTGGTTGCTGTGAGGCTGAACACTGTGACACTGTTAATGGTTGGCTACCCAATGTGGACTGAGAGTGGGGTGGAGCTCCCCGATGAAAACAAGCTTGGAAGGAGGAATGGCATCCACTTCCATAATAGCTTGCCTCCAGAAACCCTATGAACCTGGAGAGAGGATGAGAGATACCCAAGCGTTGAGGACTCTCCTTCATAGGGTCGCTATGAGTCGCCTGCGACTTGATGGCACTTAACAACAACAACAACAACAACAACAACAGTAAATGTGTATCTATGAAGCAATGCATATTTCATAAACACACTTCTGTTCAAATGTAAATAAAAGTATCATATCATTTAAATAGTTTCCAATGAAGGGGACAGTAGGATGTATGTGAGAAAGGTACATAAAAATGAAGAAATTAATGAAACAATGCATGCATAATGCATGCATAAAAAGATTAGTAAATAACACATGAGTAATTCTATACATTTATATAGCTTAAATGAGATAGTTATGAACTCAAAATATATTAAAATTGAAGTCTTGACGTGGAATATGAGAAAAAGCAAAAAACTTTTTTCTTGAAATAGTGTGATTCTTTGTCTCTGAAAACTCGGTGGAGAATCAGCTATGAGTCATTTCTGACTCAACAGTACTTCACAAGAACGATGACTTCTAATATTCTTTATTTCTGTAGCAAACATTTAGTGAACGGTTACTGTATATAGTTGTTGTTGCTGTTGTTAGGTGTTGAGTTGAGTATGATTTATAGCAACTCTAGGAACAATAGGGCTGAACCCTGTCTTATCCTGTGTCATCTCCACCATGTATGATACACTTAAGCCCATTACTACAATTGCCTTGCCAATCCACCTCATTGGGAAATCTTCCTCTCTTTGGTTGACTCTCTACCTTTCTCAGTATGCTATTTCTTTCCAAAAAAATATCCTCTCCTAGCAACATGTCCAAAGTATGAGAGACAGAGCTTCACCTTCCTTGTCTCCAAGGAATGCCCTGGCTGCATCTTTATTCATCTTTATCTTTATGGTATTTAAACCCTATACTGCATACTAGACATTATGAAATAAAGACAAGAAGAAGAGAGACAGGCAGTATGGAGAGCTTAGGTGACTCCAACATTTATTCCAGACATAGTTGACTCCATAGATATAGGTATAGTGTGCATGTGAAAGTTAGTGAAAGGGAATAGAAAAATAAAAGCTAAATGGAAATATCTGGAAGAAGACTTGTTTAGGTTAAAATGCTGATTTTGAACTTGCATCAGTTTTCTTATCTGTAAAAGAAGCATAAAATGGTACCAAATACCTGGAGTTACTGGAATAATTCAATGAAATAACATATAAAAAGTACTCGGTATAAGACCTCATAGGTTTTACATATATTGTGTTGTAGGAGTTGTGGTGATACAACAGTTAAGACTGTGGCTGCTAAGCAAAAGGATCTATATAGTTCAAACTCACCCAGCAGTAGCTACACAGGAGAAAGACAGTGATATGTAACCTAGAAAGCACTATGAAATAGTTCTACTCTGTCATATGGGGTAGTGATGAGTCAAGCACTGACTTGACAATCCCCAACAACAACTTATTTCAGTTGTTGTTATAAAGAGTTGAGTTTTTGCTGGTCAAAAGTGATGAAAAGACATAGGCTAAGATAAGTAATTTAAGTGCTGTTCCCTAGTTTTAATTGATGGGAAGGAAAAGATGGGACAAAGATAGAAAAAGGCTGAGAAAAAATGGCAAGTTTTTAGGCTTAAGATCAGAATGAGAAAGAACTGGCACAATGGAAAATGGGAGATTAGTAAATTGTGTGACTTCAAATGAAAATAATCAGGAAAAATAACTGACTTAAATTTTTCAGCATTTATTCTCCTTTACAGAATAAAATGTGTACTTTCAGAAGCATTATGCATTTAAAAAATTAATACAGTAACCTGGAAATTAAAAACACAGTAGTTTCTGTCTTAGTCAGATAAATTCATTAAAAAATATATTTATTAAACACTCACTGTATTAGTTGATAAATACTGAGACTATAACAGTAAAAGTCTTTCAAATATTTTCTACACAAGCATTAATATTGTTAGATACCAATACTTGTGCATATATTTAAATACATACATATGAATGCATATGTGTGCCACTCTGCTTCCAAATATATATATAATAACATACTATGACAGGTTTGGAAACAGGGTGGTATCCACTTTCTAAAAAACATGCCTCTGGAAACTATGAACTTTGATAAATGATGATAGTTACAGAAAGGCTTCAGGCCTTTTGTTCATAGGGTAGCTATGAATTGTGCTCAACTCGAAGGCAATCAACAAGAACTATACATATACATATACACATATATTCATATATATACACACATGACATATGACACATATGACATATATAAAATAAATCTTTCATAATAATTGTTTAAAATTTCCAATTTAGTATTCTCGAAGCATGTGTACCTAAAGAAACAAAAGAAAGCATTCTCTTTTCTCATGTTAGACATTCAGTTGCTTTTTTAGCAGCAAATAGTGTATATGGAATATTTAGCATATCTTGAGAACCACTTTTTGAGAAATGAATTAGGTACAAGGGAAGTCATGGGAATTATTTCATTCCATAAAATGACTTATTTCTTTCCTGTGAGTATATTAAACACTGGAAGATGTTGCTTAACTTAACATGGATTCTGAACTTGAAGAGAGAGAGTGACTCTGAGAATCAATTTATTAATTTTCACAAGAGTAAGACCTATATTTGACTCTAATACAATGTAAATCTGTAACCTATTGGAATCACAATTTTTATTTTGCTTTCAAATATACAGGAATAACTACTTCTTGAGGGTCTAAAATAATAAAAAAATAGGCAGCATAGAAAACGGCACTTATCTTACTAGCTAAGGTAGGGGAAAAAAAGAAAAAGACTGAAAAAAATGTAGGCTCTACACATTGCCCAAATTAAAAAGTGCAAAGTAACTTTACACAATAAAAACTATTATTTTTCTGTTTGTTTTAGTTTTTTAATTTTTTTATGAATACTCAGAAGAGTTTGGAACCAGATTCTTACCGTGAACGTTGAGGTTAAAATACTTTTTGGCGCTTCCAGCTGTGTTCTCAGCAACACATACATATCTCCCAATATCTGTTATTTGAGAATTCAGAATCTAAGTGGAAAAAGGAAAAATTCTAACTGACATTTTTAATAAAGAAAGTTGTCATAACTGAGATTTATTTTTGGGCTTAGAGTTGCTATAACATATATATTTCCCTAGTTAATATCAGATGATCAGAAACTAAAAAAAACACCCCAAAAAATAACACCCAACAAAAATATATGATAGTTCTAATGTTGATTTTATAAGCCAGGTCAATTAACAAGTTGGCAACCGTGCTTAGAAACCCATTTGCCGTTATTTGCAGCAACGTGTTAAATAACTATTTATTTATACAGATTTCTATTCAGAAAATGTAGTTTTAAAACATAGCTGTTGTAGATAGACTACAAAAATGTTCCAGACTATTCCCTCACCTCCTTATCCACAGTATTAATGGAACTTTTACATTTTTGTTCAGAAAAAAAAACGAGGGAGCTCTGGTGGCTTAGTGGCAAGACGCTGCACTGCAATCCCAGAAAAAGATGGAGTAACGATGTGAAGTCTAGACAGGTCTTGTTCCTGGTTTTCATTAAGTGAATATGACAGCAGTGATACTAAAGACACCGTATGGTGACACTGTCTTTTTCTTATTCTTTTGGAACACTGCTACTCTCTTATTTCTGCGTAGATCAAGAGACCAAATGGGACTGCCTCCGTCTAGTTGTTGCCACCGAGGGTAAAGACATGTGAGGGAGTCCAGCCAAGACCAGTAGATCTTTAGCTCACTTGAGCAAGCCTACCTGAGTCCGGCAAACTTGTGAGCTAAAAAACGCTTTTTTGCTATTCAGTTGTGATGCGTTTTGTCTTACATAGTGATTGTTAAATAATATAGCAATTAACATGATTTTTTTTAACCTATTTTGCAGTATCATTCTATCTATCCCTCTATGTCTTTGTCCCTAAGCACAGAAACATTTAAGTGTTTTGACAGAGGTTGTTTAAAAGCATCAAGTAGAAACATCAATGATGTTTAGAAGGTTCATTGAAGATTAATGGTTAAGTATAGACAGTGAACTTTAGTCTTTTTGTGTATAATACCTCCATGACATAACAATTGTTAAGAGTCATTTATAGATATGCTGGCATTCTTGTGCCAGTAAAATACTATTTATCAGATTTTAAAAGTAATTAATTCATTTATATCCTAACAAACAAAGTTGATGTTACATTTACAAATGCTTACTTTTCTTTAAGGAGTCTTAAAAAGAAAAATAAAGATATTTTTACTAGTGAACAGCAATCATGAATATTTATGTGGTTTACACTACTATGTATTTTCAACCTCTAGACAATATAACTTACAAGGAATCATCTAGGATTTTACCACAAGGTATATGCAGTGGAAAAGGTTGTCTAGTTGTTGTTGTTATTAGGTGTTGTTGAGTTGAGGTCTACTCATAGCGATCCTATAACAACAGATCTGAACCCTGTTCTATTCTGTGTTATCCACACAATCCCTGACATACTTGAGCCCATTGCCACAGTCTCTGTGTCAATCCACCTGACTGAGGGTCTTCCTATCTTTAGCCATCCCTCCACCACCTTCCCAAGCATGATATACTGTGGGCTTTAAACAAAGATCATACTATTTAGTAAATTAGATATCTCTCTCTTTGTGTGTGTATGTGTGTGCCTGGTGGTATAATGGTTAAGTGCTCACTAGCTAAACCAAATGTCAGTGAACTGAATCCACTAGCTGCTTTATGGGACAAAGATGACGCAATATTTTCATAAATATTTACAGCCTTGGAAACTCTATGGGGTGGTTATACTCTGTTCTATAGGATTCTGTGAGCCAGAATTCTACTCAGTGGTGATGTATCTCATTCTCCTTCTCTCTCTCTCTCTCTGTGAATTCACAAACAATATCTATAAATATTCATACAAAATTGTTGGAAATGGTTGTCTATGGTAATAGGAATAGGGTATAAATGAAGAAACACTTTAGTTCCATGCCTTGTATCATTACATACGTACACACACAATTTACAATTCAACCAAAGTAATTTTAAAAGTGAAGAAAAATTCTAATTACTATAAAATACAAAGTCAAAATAATTTTGAAGAAAGGAAAATATATCCCCAAAACATAAGTTTTAAAATATATCCCAAAGAAGTAAAAATTGATACACAAATGGCCGTATGTACACCTATGCTCTTAGAAGTACTAGTCCCAATAGCAAGAAAATGAAAATAGCACAAATGCCCACCAACAAGCGAATAGATCGAGCAATTGTTATGTGAATGTGATACACAATGGAACACTATGCAGCACTAAGGAACAATGATTTCTTAAAATACAAAATAACATGCGAGAGAATAGAAAGTGTTATGCTGAGTGAAATAGCTCAGTTTCATAAGGACACATATTGCATAAGACCACAATTGTAAAATAGAGGGTAACTGAGCAAGACATGTATAAATGTTCAAAAACATTTGAATGTTTGAACATTAAATGTTCAGAAGAGGGAAGGAAAAAGTGGGGTACAAAAAGGGGAAGGAGGGAAATCCCCGGGATAGCAAAGTTTAGTGGACAGAGGGGTGAAGGAAAAGGAAAGATTCCATGAGGACTTGAAGAGAAGGGGTAATAATAGACACAGACCAATAATTATATTCATTAATTATATAAAATACAATGTAAACCAGGTTGCTTCTTGGAGACAAGAATTTTGAAGCTCCATCTCACATACTTTGGGTATGTTACCAGGAGGGATCAATCCTTGGAAAAGGACATCCTGCTGGGTAGGGTGGAGGGAAAATGCAAGAGAGGAAGACCCTGGACGAGATAGGTTAACACAGTGAGTGTGGCAATAGGGTCAGGTATGTCAGAAACAGTAAGACTGACTCTTGATAGGACAGGGTCCAGAAGTACTGTTCAAAGGGCCACTACGAGTTGAAGTTGATTTGATGCCCCAAGAACTACATATGAATAATATAAAATAATGATATAAAACACAATGTATATGAATGATTGTACATAAATACATTTCTAAAAAAGCTAATAGGGGAAAAAGTTAGATATTTGCTTTTACCTGCAGAATTCTTCCATTAGATAAAAATTTATGATGACCATCTTCTAGCAAGGCCTGTCCATCTTTTTGCCAGGAATTCCTCGGAGCTGGGCTGCCACTGGACAAGCACTCCATCGTTGTGCTCCTATTCACCAGCACGGTGACCTCTTCGGGAAGGTCACTGTTTGCTCCCTTGATAGTTGGTGGTACTAATAAAGGGTTGTGACAAAGATATCAATGGAAACAGGTCTCTCCTAAATTATTCTAATTTTCTCAAAGTTCTTGAAATTTTCACAGAGTCAGAGAAACAGTTTGAAGGGGAGATAAATAATCACTAGTTATATTTTATAGTAATAAATTTGGGTGGTTATAAAAATTGTTCACTTTTGTATTGGTTTTTTTAAAATTCTTCTCTCTCCTTTTCACCAACCTGTGACTAACATTCTCATGGTTTTATTTCCATTTAACTTATTCTCAGATCTTCCCCAATATATATTGTCCTGTTTTCAGGACAACTCTGAATTTTTAACAATATATACAAGTATAAATTTTACATATGGGTAATTACTTATGTCTTGGAGGAAGTGCCACCATCTCACTATTTGGGTAATTCTCAGAAGGAACCAATCCCTGGAGAGGGACATCATATGAAGAAAGTTGGGGAGTCAGAGAATGAGAGGCAGACCCTTGCCGAGATGAATTGACACAGTGACTGCTACAGTGGGCTATATCATGGAAGAGAGAGAAAGGTGCAGGAGAGGGCAAAGCTCAGATCTGCTGTTTAGGGTCGCTAGGAGCCATTGTCACATTGATAGCACCTAACAAAAACAACATATAGTCATCTAGGCTATCCTGGTAACTTAGATCTTTTTCAGTGTAAATGTGAGATTTCTAATATATGTGAGGTTTCTAATACTCTGAAATAATGTCAAAGATTTTAAATTCTTTGGAACAAAGAAACACTTTGTTATTCATTTGGTTTGTTTCTCTGTGTCAGGAGCAGCAGCAGCATCACCTTGGAACATCGTTCTCAAAAACTCTCTGCTCTTGAGTTGTTTCTGACTCATAGTGACCCTACTTTGCGTTTCTCATGCTGTAAATCTTTTTAACTGGGGAAGTGGTGGTAGATTCAAATCCCCAAAGATGCTAAGCCCTTTGTTTAGCAGTACAAACAAAATCATGCTATTGTCAATGTTAGAAGTGCATATTCTTATCCCTTTCCAAGATTTTCTTAATCAGAACTAAGACATAAATCAGTAAGCTGTGTTTCTACAAGTTTTCCAGGCTATCTTTAGGCCCACTAATGTGTCAGAAATCCTGCTAGATT